CTCAGGTGAACATAAGAATCGGGGGGGGGGGTCCCCATTTTTCTGAACGTAAATTTTTGATATTACTTTAGTTTGAAAATGTTCATTAACAGTCTGTTTGCCCCCTCCCTTTTTGATACTTTATAGTAAAAACCCCTCCTACACTAATGGACCTTATCCCTCCCTGAAATAAGATACGAATTTCTCCTCTTTTTGGGGGTATTTAGGTTTACTGGTAGATTTTTTCAGGTATTTTGTCCTTCTTTTCTTATAACTTCCTTTTCAAAATCAATGTTTTGTGTCTGACATTTATTTGTTCTACATCGCACCAAAATTCCAAATTAATACAACTGGTTATGTTTAATATAATTCACTTCGCTTCTCTCACTGCTTTTGACAAGGACTTCAACAAATGTGAACAAGAAAGATTGCAGGGGTTGCTTAAGAGTTTGTATCATTAAATCATTGAATCAAATAATAAATCAATTATTGCTGTTTTTTTCAGTCAATACAATTTAGCTTCGGGCTCGGTGAATATTGTACTCCTCAGGTGGCTAAATCATAGTATTGAACTCAAAAACGGCAATAATTGTATAATATTAATCTCTTAACAATCTGTTAATATTGTCGGCTTGATAAGAAAACAAAATTAATAAGTTAACTAACCTCCATTTCAGTATGTACATATATCCTATCCGAGTTCTGCAGTCGAATGATGAGATTTATGTATGCTAAATAATGAACTTGCTAAAGGTTCTTGTACAAAAAAATTGCAATTATGAAGAATCATTAGTCATTAATACTTTATTGAACTATGAATTGTTTCCTTTTGGTCTAATATCTAGTACGTGTCATTCGGAATCTTCAGAATTTATTGTAGCTCTCAAACATAGGGTTAGCAAAATCACTGAGGATTGCGATTGAAGAGTATCGTCGCCATTTTTAAATGGAAACGAGAATCCAGTATTCTGAACTCATACGTATGCTGTACGGATATATTCCTGGCACAAAACCAATATCTAAACAGCACGTACTTCCCAAAGGACTTATATTTACTTTATACTTTAATAATATTAAATATTAATTAATATTAATATAAAACCAATATATTTATTATTTTTTATTATATATTAAAAAAATATTATACATGTACAAATATTATACATGTATATCACCAATTTTTTGTTCATCCGCAATCCTTTACTTAATCACCCAACAAATCCACCCTAAAAATATGAAAAATAAAAAAATAAAAAAAATTTTCTAGCCATAAACTATTACTGAGTTAAGAAATAACCCCATGTACCAGCTAAAATATTGAATGCAATTCTCTATTAATTATATACAGAGCTCTCTTTTTCCAGGAGATATAAAACGTCCAAAATTGATCACCGAGCCCTCTTAATAGTTTATCATTAATGGTCCCATGCATCCCCCTTTCTGCACCTATATACATGTATACTAATATAATTATGTATATTAAATGTAATGAATGCAACAATTAAAATGAAGATTTTTAGACACAAAAAAAAATCTTTAACACGATTAAAGATTAAAACAAAATGTGTTTGTGAAACACTTATGCCCCTGTATGGCAACTTATAGCAAAGGTTAAACTTTCTCAACTGCAAATCTAAATACGCTCCTACCCAAAGTAAGGTCTTGTCTCGAGAAATATACCTGTGAAATATGAAAGCCCTAGCAGCAAACATCGAATAGATATTGATAGGTTAAAGTTTTCAAAAGTAAGTCAAACAGCAAGCCATAGTTCAAAGTCAAATAGTCAAAATTAATGGTGCCAAGGGAAAGGCTTTCTCGCAAGAAATACATATGTGAAATATGAAAGCCGAAGTACCAATCGTTCAAAAATTATGGCCAAGGTTAAAGATGTTCAAAAGTAGGCCAAACTCCAAGGTCAAGGTCAAAGGGTCAGAGTTGTTGGTATCCAAAGGAAGATCTTGTCACAAGGAATACATACGTGAAGAATGAAAGCCCTAGCACCAACCGTTCAAAAGTTATGGCCAAGGTTAAAGTTTTTCAAAAGTAGGTCAAACTCCAAGGTCAAGGTCAAAGGGTCAAAGTTGTAAGTATCCAAAGGAAGGTCTTGTCATAAGGAATAGCAGGGATTTATCAGCCTACTTTGGGAAACGCCATTTTTAGAGAATTGGGAAAATATTATCGGATATTTGCTGAAATTGGGAAAAATTAAAGAATCTTGCTTAGGTCATGTATTCAGGTGTAATTCCTTTAACATTTCAGCATGAACTCTAATTTTGGGCAACCAAACAGACAATTAAATATTATCCAACTTCATCATATACAAGATCAATTATCAATAATAGACTAATAAAACTAAATTTGATTTCAGTGAGTATAGAGTATTTATACAACTTAGGGTAGTACATCTGTGTATCAGACTCCAATTTAGATGATTAAAATCTGTTTCTGGAGATTATAAACCTCCTGCAAAAAATTATATTAAGTACACATTTCCTCAAAGTCCCCTTTTAGTATGTAAAAATGCATTGAAAAATATATGTTTCTCTCTGAAATATATGCCTACAGTTCTTACCATTCACTCGTAGATCAATTGAATAGGTGGAGATAACTTAAAAAATCTATATTATTGCACAGTATCATCATTTTCAGAAAAACGGAGGAAATTCGGATTAAAAGTCGGCGATGTTTACTAACAGTGTTTTAAAACTTGTTATGACTGTAACTTTGCTAAATGAGATAAATAGAGGAAAATTACAGACAATCTGACAATTTTACTAAGTTTTTTTTCCAAGATAATTAAAAAAACATTGTTCACCAATTGGGAAAAAATACTGCCAAATTGGGAAAAATTGAACTCATTTTCAATTGGGAATGGGGCCGAATTTCGGCCCATGAGAAGGTACTGATAAATCCCTGAATAGACTTGTAAATATGAAAGCCCTAGCACCAACTGTTAAAAAGTTATGGCCAAAGTTAAAGTTTTCCAAAAGTAGGTCAAACTCCAAGGTCAAGGTGTCAAAGTTGTTGGTGCATGTATCCAAAGGAAGGTCTTGTCACAAGGATTACAAATGTGAAGAATGAAAGCCTTAGCACCAACCGTTGAAAAGTTATGGCCAATTAGGTTAAAATCTTTCAAAAGTAGGTCAAACTCCTAGGTCTTGGTCAAATGATCAAGTTGTTGGTACAGTGTATCCCATGGACGTTCTTGTCACAAGGATTACACTTGTAAAGTATGAAATCTCTAGCACTAATTGCTCAAAAGAATATGGCCAAGGTTAAAGTTCGGTAGAATTTTGCGAAACTGGGTCAAACCTCAAGGTCAAGGTAAAAGATAAATGTGATAGTACCCAAAGAAAGGCCTTGTCACAAGGAATACACATGTGAAATATGAAAGCCATAGCTCCAACCAATCAATCAAAAGTTATGGGTAATGTTAAAGTTTTTGCAGACAATATCAGACAAACAGACAGAAGGACAGACGGACGGACAGGGTGGGTGGGTCAAAACATAAAAATCTTAATTATATTCGTGTTGGTGTAGGGAGAAGAGGGAAGTGGACAGGCCCGTAGGAAGCAATTTAGGTTTTTGGGATTGCACAACCAAACATGCATTTTCAGTGGGGGCGGAGGGGGGGGGGGGTACTACCAAACAAATTCAGGGGGGGGGGGCTACCAAACACTGAAAAATTCCTTTGACAATGGAAAACAAGGGGAGTTCATCAGACGTATAATTACTGAGGGGGCACATCCGTCAAGTAGATTTGTTTTCTATCCTATACTATATCGGCAAAATTCGTGCCCCCATACCGGTTCCTACTGTCCTGGGGAGGGATACTTTTTGGAGGAGGGGCATTTCAATGAACAATTTCATGCTAAAAATAACTTATGTTTGGAAAAAATAGGGGAGCCCCAACACCCTTCGTGTCTGAACAAATGATATTGTTTACTTTTATCAATAGTATAGTCTTGAGTCTTGACAATTTTGGTATATTCTAGGGGTGTAGCAATACATGTACGTCGATATATCGATGCATTGTGAATTTGTGATACAGAGAAGGTGGATATACGATGCATCGATGCATAAAATGAAGAATCTATTTCAGGAAGCATTTAATGCACAAAATTTGAGTTCAAATTTAGAGTAATTGTGTAAATAACAATGGTAAAACTCATTAAAAACGAGAAGGAAAGTTATTATTTTTTTTTTTTAGAAATTAAAAGGGAAAAATAGTTAAAAGTAACTCATGGCCGTAGGAACGGGGGGGGGGGGCACGGGGGGCCGTGCCCCCCCCCCCAATAATTTTGCCGATATATAGATTACTATAGAAAACATAGGTACCATATGCTTGTGCCCCCTCAATAAAAACGTCTGATGACCTTTTTTATTTTTATTTTTTTTTTTTTTTTTGCTTGTCAAGAATTTTTGGTAGTTGATAGTGCCCCTCCAACTGAAGATGTATGGCTGTGCCCCCCCTCAAACTGAAATTGCTTCCTACGGGCCTGTAACTTGCTTTAAAACTGGTTTCGGAAAATAGAAAAAGGAATGCTGAAATCTATGATTTCCCTTTCTTAAAACCGAACAAAAACTATTATGCAAACCTGTAAATTAAAATTGATATATAATGATATATTGCGACATTTTTCTGAAATATCGCGATGTATCGTGATCTGCTTTGACACTCTCTACCATCGGCTCATACATTCGTGAACCTCTGTCGTTGGCTCGCGTTCAGTGTTAAGCACAAGAAATAGTGCGATTTTTTAAATTCATTATAATTAAATGCCTGCAGTTCTGTTTGTCTTTTAAGGTATATATATATACTAAGTAGATCTAGAGCAGTTAACTATTAGTTTAATTTGAAATAATCCCTGGAATATCATGTTTTTTTTTACGTTATATCTTGACGCGAGCCCATTGCAGAAGAGAGGAACGAACGACAACTCTGCATAGGAGATTGCTGCTTTTCCGGAATACGTTCGGCTTTTGTACGTCTTTTTCAATTTCCGGATATTGCACAAAACGTCTTTGGCGGCATGAAGTACGATAAAAGCGAGTTTTCAGCAGAATAAATCTCTTTTATCGCTACTTTTGAATGAAAGGTAAGTGGTGTTTTACTCTGCTTTGTAACAGACATGATGAATCAACATGATCTCTTGTTTTATTTATTTTATTGCCTGATCATTGCTCTTGACCCGTTGACTGACCAGTCGGCATGTATAATTTGTATTGCAACATAAATAATCATGATCATGACCTCACTGATTTGCCACTGAACTAAGAAGTCAAATTAAGTACTGTAGCATTTAAATCATTCTATTTTAATTTTGGTTTGTAAGCAATGATAAAAATTTCACGATCGTCAAGAGCCATAGAGATTCTAATGATTTTAGAACTGCTGAACAACATATTTCCTTGGCTGTCTGATAAGGTCTCCATTAAGTTGAAAATATTGATTCACATTCAGAAGTGGATCCCTAGACTACTTAAAAAAAATGTATTAGTGGTTTGCAGGAATATGTAAAAATCACGTTTCCCCCCATTTTTAGTCCCATTTCTTATTATTTATTATTATTTTTTTTTTGCAGGGGGTGGGGATATAGATAAAGGGTCATATTCCTGCAAGTCTGCCACTATTTATGCTTTTTGAGGGGTGGGGTTAGGTGGTGGGTATATTGGTATAATACATAATGACAGTAGGATTGAGTATTTTCTTAATCAGGTCCAGGAAAATCACTATATTTACCTATATAGCTTAATTTACCTATATAGCTTTATTTACCTATATAATATAGCTTTATTTAGCTATTTTAGAATAAGTTTCTGTTTTATGAAAAGCAAACAAAAAGTCGCATGAAAATTATGGCTGATATTTTTTTAAAAAGGTTTGATAAAAACAACCTAGGGCATAGATAGTAAAAACATTGCCTCTTTTAAACACTTTTTAACCAAAAAATGCATCTCTATTGTTTGGATAGCTGTCCATTACTGGAAGCGCGATGAGGCATGACTAAGTGTGATTGCCTTGCATTGTGCTGAATTATTACCAATCAATTATCTTGTTGACCAGAAGTGCTTTTCTTTGTTAAAGTAGCTGCTTATTCACAGATTAACTGTTATACATAGCCCCAAAACTTTTAGATCTTTGATTGCAATTGCACAAAAGGAGAAACATTTTTAAAAGTGGGTTTTTGGTGAATTGTTTTCAGTCCATTTCAAAGTTGAAAACTAATACTGCCTCATTATGCGACTTTTTGTCTGCTTTTCATAAAACAGAAATTTACTCTGAAATAGCTAAATAAAGCTATATTATATAGGTTAATAAAGCTATATAGGTAGATTTAGCTATATAGCTAAATGTAGTGATTTTCCTAGACCTGTTAATGTGGCATATGACATACATGCACAAACCACACTTAAGTCACTTGCATGAAATGCACATATTATAGGTGTGAGTTGGATATCTTGAATCAATAGATTGATGCAATGGATGTTTTGTTTTTGACAATACCCAAACAGACTTATCATCAATGTTTTTTGTGAAAAATGCAACTTGAATGGATTAATATATATGGAGTAAAATAAATTATTTATTTTTTCTAAAATTGACTGATTCCAATATATTCTAATTTTAATTCTAATTTTTTAGTGTGAAACTTTATATATATATTTCTTAATATTATCTTGTCAAAAAATGGATTGTACGTACCAAAGTATGTAGTATACCAAATAAATATCTAAATGATTGGATGATGAAGCTGTTGTAAAAAAATTAAGCTCCAGATGTAATAAATATTACCTACTCAGTGATTCATTTTGATGTGCGTCCTGCGTAAATTACGCACAAATTTTACTCAGGACGCATTATTTCAATAAATGTGCATCCCAATGGATGCAATAAATTTACAGAAGGACATGTACTATTTTAAATTGTTTCGGTATAATCTGATTCAAAACTTGACCGATTGTATCATATCCACGTGCTAAGCGATATGCATGAACGATTTTAACAGGTATAAGGTTGCCAACAACAGGTCAGATTTCACAACTGCAGTTAAAAGCAATTATCAGAAAATATTTGAAAGTTAGATAGCATAGTTCGATTATCACTGATTATGTCTATACTGTGGAACGTTTCTGAAGCGAATGTTATACCTTTGTATTTAAGCTGTAACCTGCATGTATCATTGTTTTTTTTTCTTTTCGTTTTTTCCTTACAAGCTAAGAAGTATAAAATTTAAATCATTTTAATTTCTGACTATTTGTCATTTCTTCTTTAACTTTTATTTTACTTCATTCTGCTTTTGTGCATTTTATGACTGATACGATGTGTGGGATCGTATATACGATCTAAAAATAGAACCAAAGTGCACAGTGGACAATATATTATTTTTATGACACAAAATCATGTACTCTTACTTGGACAATTGATAGTAAAAGTATAAATCATTCACAGCTACAATAAAACATTTGCACTTTCGTGCAATACCTTTTTTCATTTCACCAGAATTTCCTCTGTATCATCTAATATACGGTACCCTTGGATTTGGACGCATTGATTTTGGCACGGGACTCATTGTTGTCATTTTCTCATCACATTGTCATAGAGTTTGAAATATATATATATATATCGCTGTATGTTTCCCTTCAGGCTTGATTAAGAAAGTTAATATTCAGACTGTTACAAATTAAAGCTTTTAGTTATTGATATTGTGGTCAGGGGAACTAACTGCGGGATGTTTGTAGCGTATACTGTCTACACTAGGTGATTATTTGTGATATTTATAGATGTTGCTCACTTTGCTGTTTGAGTCATATAAAATCTATCAATGACACCCAGCTATCAGGGGTTTGAGAAAATGGTTATCTGTTGGTTCTTCATCATGCTTGTTTTTATTGTGTATACATAGCAGTGAGTCACCATGTAGCCACTATAAAGTACAGACGTTTCGTGGCATTAATTAAACCTTGATTATATTCAATTATTATAAACAGAAGAGCTACCAGGTATAGTTGTCTATTCCTCCATAAAAAAAATATCTAGACTAAGATTGTTAATTCATTAGTGTTTATAATAAAATTATCTTATTTTTATATCCTCTACTCCCCCCTCCCCGTTGATCTTTTTTCTCTGCTCAGATGTGATAAGTTGTAAAGTGAGGATTTTTCCAGATACTATTGATGACAGTTTGAATCGTATCTATTGAACAGTTCACACTACTAACGATCACAGGACTCAGTATGATTTCTCATGTTCATTGTTCAAGTATGTAGTAATTACTTTGCACAATAAATGTATAATCTATTATCCTTTCATATCCTATTGAGGAATCATGTATTTATCATTTAATAATTGGGCAAAAATATGTCCTTTGTAACATTTGTGTAATAAGCACATGATTAGTCAGCATTATTAAGTTGATATGGAGGATGTATGAAACCTGAAGTAATTTATTATGAAGAAGAGATTTTAAGGACAATTAAGGGTTGTTCACTACTTGGGATTTCCATATATTCCATCAGAAACAATTAACTAAAAGATAGCTTAATTACTCACAGCAATATTCCCACATCTTTTAAATATTCCTTGAGATTTTCTGATGAAATTTCTAGCTTATATAATATACGTATGCTTGTCACAGGCCTTTCAATATTAATTTCCTGCAAGTATAAATCCCAAGGTATGTACATGCATACTATATTACTGATATTTAAATTGAAATTTCATTAATTTCCAAAATCCTGCTTGATACACAAAATACAAATCATTTCCACTGAGTTCTGGAGGATAGCCATATAAGGAGACAGTTTATAAGAAGTACAGATGGGTTTGTTTGAACAAGTAGCTCCTATAACATGATAACATGTTGAGTAATTCTCCTTTAATAGGTGACTTCTTCACCTGTATAGAAACAGGTTAGACTTTGGTCAGAAGGAGGGTTTCTGTACAAAATCAGGTACTGTACGGTCATTTTATACATACAGCATGATATTTTTAACTTTGCGATGTTATTGGTGTGTACATTTTTGATTTGTAATTAAAAAAAAAATGTATAATAAATTATTTGATATCACATGCTTATCATGTCTATGTACATCCTATTTAAATATGTGAGATCTATATTGTATAATTTATATTTGAACTGTATAACTCCTTATTACAGCATCACTACAATTTGACGTATTGATGAATATGCATTTCCCTGATAGCAGTGTAGTAAGGTTAATATCAGGAACTATGACCTAGCTGTATGAAATAGTGTGATTACATTGCTTGTCATGTAGGAGGTGCAGGAACTCTTTATTCCAGATTAACTGAATCTAAACACACAGTTTGATCATGTTGATAGGCTTGTGTAAATAAAGGGAATGAGTCACGTACATTCATATTCATAGAATTTTTCAGGAGTTCAATTTTTTTTAGAAAGGTATGGCTTTGGATAGGAGATAATTTTTTGATTGTGTGTAGAAAGAGTTTGTTTATATATTATTTGATATTTGGAGAAATAAAATAATGTATGTAGTACTAATATTACTGGTAGGCGTATATATATGGTTGCATCTTATTCCCCAAAAGTCAAAGATTTGGAAATGAATTGTTCTAACAGATTGTTTGTCTACATTATATAACTTTGCTCCAACATTTGAACTGCACAGTATTTAATAAGCTTAACTCACAAGATTATAATGAAGTTTATGTTTTGTTGTCAGTTGAGTTGAGTTGAGTCAAGTTCAAACACCAAGGTTAAAGGTCAAATACTCAAGGTCTTTGGTATTTTAATTTTCTTAGCACAACTCTGTATATAGTATGGATAAAAAAAAATTTTTGTTATTTGTAGAGATAACTCGGTGCATTGGTACTTAAGATGTCGGGTAAGCCCCAGCTGATTGGCTACACCCCAACCTCCAATGAGGGGTCAGGTAAGGTCAAAGTGAAGAAGTTAACCAATCATCAACAGTTAATGTCTTAATTATTAAACAGGTAGTACTAATTATCATTTGATAAGAGTATAAGTAATTGTAAGTATAATATTGTATATGGAAAACAATGATATATAGCACTGGAAAAAAAAATGAATTTGCTAGGAAACAAATTATAATGAAACCCTTAGACATCAGTTAGACCAGGTCTCTTCCCCCAAGTAAATTAAAAAGTTTCTTCAGGTGAATGACTATATTTGTTTGCTGAATATGGTTAAAGATTAGATGATTTTAGGACACCTTGCATCTTACCTAAAAATAGAAAGCATAAATCCTGATTTGCACTAAAGAGCAATTTCCTGCTTATTCAATGAAAATTTGCAGGAGTGGTTAAATAAAAAGTACATAGGATATTTTTTAGAATGAAAGGTTAGTGCTCCTGATATGCTCCAGTGATGGGCTGAAATTTCTCGTCTTTATATCAGAAGACTGCTTTGGTCATCCCGCTGTTAACCGAGCCCGTAATTTGATGCTTCTGTATAATTATTTGGTGACATAGCCAGCTTTTTATTCAGACCTTGATATTTTTATACTCAGGTAGATTGACTTCATCTGAATTGTTTGGAAACTTATAGGGATCTCATTACCAGGTGATATTATCTAGCAAAGGGAACTTAAACAATTTGAAAAGACTAGATTTTACAAGTTATAATTTGAATTTTTTGTAGAAAATTTGCGTCTTAGTATTCTTAATATATAGACGTACCAACACAGAGAGCTTAAATATAGATATAATATTATCTTGAGCATGTTGAAGCTGACAAGATTTTTTTTTCATATAGTGAAGAAATTCGGGTGGACATCATAACCTTTCATTTCAGATTTTAAAAGTATTTGAAAAACAGAATGTTATCAATAACAAAATTTAATTTCTCCCAGTAAGGGTATTTTCTTTTAAGTTATTTGAATGAAAAATATGCCTCAGTGGTTGTGCTCAAAATCTTTCAGATATATCAATAAATCGATACATTTTAATCAATTGATGTATTGATTCTGAAATTCTCCTCAGTGACCACCTGGGGTCTCTTTTTAAAAACTCTAAATGCCCAAGGTGGTTCCAGGTCTCAGGTCTGTCTGTTCGTGTGTAAATTTGAAGTGAAAAAAAAAAAAAAAACGGCAATAATTTTAACAAATCTAGTAGAAATTTTCATCATAATAACAAAGTTGATTATTATAGATTTCTTAGTTTGTCTTGGGCAGGAGATATGCCAATTGTGTCTGCATGTTTTTTTTTTCATTTATACACATTATAGAATTACTTACACTATGCATGCATAGATAAAGAAAAAAGATTCCATCATATAATAACAGATTTTACATTATAACTGTGCGTACTAGCATTTAAACTGAATTTGTTTGTCTATTTTGTCATTCAACTATTAATTTTCTATACTTACCCGTTCAGGTGTAAACGAGCAAGGTCACATTTCCATTTTTGGGTAATACACAGACAACTGGATGTTCATTTTAAAACCTTGTTTACCCGATCAAGTTCTTAATATATTATTTAGCCCCCCAGGTATATCTAACGACACCTGTAGTTATATATTCAGCATCTAGGAGTTAAGCTTCGCAAAAACTTGAAGTTTGTGAAACCTGTTCCAGCTGTGTACAGGTTAAACTATTCTGGTGTACGTGTGATCAGTTCAGTATTCGGTGATTGATGAAATGTGTGGGTATTTTGCATAATCATTGAGATTTTGCGTACTTCTGGGAAATTTAAAGCCATCACTTGTGTTTAGGAATTGGAAATACATGGAAGCATTTTAAGAACAACATCATGGAAAGTAAGTAAGAATAAATAATTTCCAGAAAAGCAGCCATTGATGAGATGAACTTTAAATATATGTCTAGAAAGGCGCTATTGATCCCCCCCCCCCCCTTTTTTTTTTTTTTTTTTTACAAATTGAGGTCAGGCTCTTGTAATTATATAAACAAAAAAAAAATCCCTGTCTTGTCTAAGGAAAGAATGGTTTTGTTTATAGATAAGGGAAGGGGTATTCAAGAGCAATTCCAACTGCAGTTTATCTGTGGGTGATGTTGCTGGGGATAATTATATAATGAAAAGAAAAAGGATGTGACTTGCAAATGTGTGCCCTCATTTTAATCAGTAAAGATTGGCACATCTGAGTTTGTACTCTTCCTTAAACTGTGGGTCTCGATCTGTTTAAAAAAAAATTTACCATCTGATCCTTGTTTATGTTATTTAATTCTCTCATAAGGGGGGTAACTCTGTAACACTTTTAGGGTTCTGCACACACGGTCTGTGTAAAATTCCAACACTAGAAATTCTAGATATTATTTTTATAAAATAATTAATCAATACATTTCTGGTTGAATCAGCTGCTATGCACACTAATCATGTACTGCTTTTTTTTTCTTGAAAAAAAAATTGTTTTAACTGGAACATTAAAACTGTGAACGCTTCTTGAAACTGAAAAGTTTGCATGTGTAGCATCTGTATTTGACTATCATTGTGATTTTGTAGAATTAGATGTATTGTTTCTGAGAATCTTTTAAAATCTGAACACTACATGTGTATATGTAGATATTTCATTATTTTTTATTTCCAGTTTTATCACTTACAATGTATGACATGTCAGTGTTAAACTCTAGCTGCTTGTGATGGTGTTGATGTTGCATGCCTGGTGATTTTTCATGTTTCTTTTATTTGCATGGCTTAATGAAGGCAAAAACAGCATGGAAATGAATGGAAAGGGTGCTGGAAAAGGTAAGGAAGATGTCATATATATCATCATTAATGATCTTTAAATTAACAGGGGTGGATCCATGAATTTAACAATCATGTTGTTTTTGAGGGTAGTTGGAAAATTCTGACCAAAATCAAATGATCATAGTTAATAAACAGCAAACTAATTTAAAAATGTTTTATACAATAAGACATAATTACAACAAAACACACTTCTAATAAATTCATTCACATTTAGTACAGTGAAGTGATTTTCAGTTTCAAAACTTGAGTACTTGTTGGATATAAAGAATTATGTTTACAAAAAATCAAAATTGTTGGTCCCTTCCACCATAAAAAAGTAAATTTCATTAAAATCAGATTCCTTAAAACTCTATTTAAGGTCTTCCGTTTCCAACGGAAGACCTTCTACTGATTGTACTGATTAAGATTATTCTTTTTTTTTTTTTTCCTAGACGCCAACTTTGAAGCTTCATATCTTCCTCATTTCTGAACAGATTTTGTTCAAATTTTCAGAGCTTTTAGACTTTACAAAACACTCTCAGAATACTGTAATACAATTCGGAAATTACCTTCTGTTCACGAGTTATTCCCCTTTGATTGAAATTTTTATGCCTCTGGTTTCCAGACAAAGGCTCGGAAAGTGTAATAATTGGAGCACAATACCATTTGAAATTGAAAAGAAGAAGCATTGAAGTTGTGCACATCGGTTTTTCTTTCTTGATTTTTGCATTAAAAATGGCGCTAGAGAGGGGTCAAAATTTAGAACGCGAAAAAGAGCAAAAATTTTGACATATTTTCCTTTATATCTTTAAAACTAAAAATAATTTGTTAAAACATGCAGAATAAAAGTTGTGCATAATTGCAAGGGCTTTCATATTATACTATTTAAAAGGGGCTGGCCCCTATAATTCGGGATCCTGGGCCCTTAAAAGTTTTTGCTTTATAACTCAAAAACGGTAAATATTTCGATCTGGATCTTGGGAACAAAATTGTTCTTTTACACCTTTTTGATCTAATGAAAATGTTGTTTTGTTCGAGTATACCATGGGTATTGCGTAATACGTATTAGAAAGCAGGCCAGGTAAACAGGTAACGTTTTTCATTCGGCAAGGAAATCAGACCTCTTCATGTGTATAACTTAAACAGACTTGCTATCAATAATATACCCTGCGGTATTTAATGTTAATTTTCTTTTTAATAAGGTTTAAAACGTGGTATATGGTTCACTATTAAATTATTTATTACAACTTGTCTTTCTTTTCTTCTTTTTCTTCTTAAATTAGATTAATAGTGTTCAAAAGCGGAGAATATTAAATCTATCTTTCTACGTTTATTATTACAACAAACTTTGTAAGTGATTTTAAACTGTATGCATTGAATAATTCACGATCATTAGCTGTATGCATATTACGGTCTCCATGTTCAGCTCGATATTTAGTTATGTAACCCAACGCGCGAATCCCACGCTGTTGATCGAGGTCACCAGTGTACTAGCCACCTGTGGCCATAAACAAAGCTAGTATTTGTGATCGCGTATAATGTCAATTTTGTACAAAGAGCTATTAATTAATGGAAAGTTATGTTTTTAATTATATCGAATCAGTAAGATTACTTTACCGATCTTTTATAATCTTAATTCCAAACACTGGTGCATAAAAATCATTTTAAATTTTAATCGCTGTTTTTGTCTGTTCACGCAACAATACATTTAAAAAAGTATTGCTCTATCCCGTGTTGTTGTATTTTAATTCATCTGCAATTGTAATTGAATGGGGGCTTCGGTAAATAATTGTAATTACTACGCATGCTACGCACATATTATTTTTACCATCACTCTTGTGAATGTCCATTTATTATTTATAGAATTAAATAAACATTAACATAAATAAAAATTCCTTCAAATATACAAGTCATGTATTTGTAATATAGCAAACAGTTTCATCCATCTCTGCCGCTTTGTGTCTTAGGTGTTGTAGTCCAGTCCTCGTTTACATACACGTGGCCACAGAGAGCCCCGGGCACCTCGATGTTGAAATACATTGTGTACTCTGATAGTTGCTCTACACAGCACAAACAACTAACGTGTACATGCAGTGTAGTAATTGGCAAAGATTGTTTGAAAAATATAAACTCGCATGTGTTCGCTACGAAGCATTCATTTTAAAATTTTATTTACATGTAGATACCTTATAAGAACAAAATAAAGTAAATGTATAACACCTAGAACAATGTTTAAAAATTAAAATACAAATAGCGTGTGCTCGGAAGGGAAGATGGCTTAAAAGGGTGTGTCTGTGAATGCTTAGATCTAGCAACACATTTCGCAAAGTCAAGCATACTTGTGTCCAAATCCTTTAAAAGTGGGGGAAATCCCCAATCCTCGCACCCTTCCTTTTTGAATCTAAAAATATATACCATACTGAGAGTTGTATACAGAGCGGGAATGTTATTTTATTAGTCCTTAAAGGCACAACTTAAGAAATGACTTATAATTTTTTTTTAGGTAAGATTGTTTCGTGATAAAGCTGTGATAAATCTTAGGAACTTCTAAAGTTATAACTTAGGCATATCTTAAGATAACTTAGGAAACGTTTTTGAAACAGGCATGTCAAGCATTTAGTCAGATCTATTACGACATCCATATTACCATATAAGAGAATGAAATTTTGTTTTGTATATAAAGTGGTTATTACAAATATGCGTATTACAAAAATGTATGCTGAAATCTTCAAAAGCTATCGAATTATTTACTTCTCGCAACAAATATTGATTTGGTTCTAAAGAAATTGATTTCCGATTCACAATTTATCTGCATGCGACATTTTTTTAAAATCAGAAATGGTCAAATGAACATGATGAATGAATTAAGCGTAGAAAATTAGGGTGGGACTGCCAGACGTGCGGTAATCATATAAAGCCATAAGAATAATTCTGCAATAGGAAAACTTCAGCTATTATTCTTATTTTGAAATATTTAACTAGCTTGCGTGAAGAAAGAAATCTTTCATTTTCTGGGTAAATATTTTTTGTCTCTGATTTTCATTCTAGTTGTTTTTTTTAGTCATATCGGATCTTTCAAATTATTTCATCTTATCTATGTTGGTCATGTTGGTGATATACTTATTAAATTATTGTGGCCGAAATTACAAGAGATCCATTGCGTGTGAACCAGCGACCTGCGTTCGTAAACTAAACATCTTTTCGTCGTTTAATGTTGAAACATACACTATATTAAATTTTAAAAAAAAGTTAGCAAAATATATATCAGTATTTAACTGCATTTAACTGCGTTTCACATATACCCGGGTTTTGTGTTTGTTTACAATTATGTAACCTAATTATGTAGCCGAGGAAGCAGCTATGAGTGCTCATACACAAAACATTGTCGTTCTATATTCATTTTGCTGACACAATGATTTACGGAAAATTATTTTTTAAATCATACCGGGTCATTCAATTAAATTATTTATTCTTATCTTAATTTGATTTAATTTAAATCCAAAACATTCTATTAAGGACGTATAAAGGTCCCCGATTTCATGAATCCTAATCTTTAAACTGCATACATGTACATGTATTTAATAAACGATTTATTTCTCAATTACATGTATGTGTTATTATATGTTTAATTTCGGAGATTCATTGCGTGTAGTTAATTCTGCAGATAATTCTAACTTGACACACAAGGTTTGCACACAAGAATTCAAAAGAGATATATTTTGAAAACAATAAGACGCATTGCTTAACACTTTTACATTATTTTCTTTTTAAAATGGCTATCTTTATGATTACACCAACTCTGAACATGCTATGTGAAAAACTCTGTCGTCTATAGTTTTGTAACTCCAGCATATGACAAGTACATGTGCTTTTATTAAACTCCCAATTTTCCATTAATGCCCACAAAATCTACCTATAGCTTAAGATCGATAATATACCGCCCGACAATCATACAAAAATAAAACAATAGCTGCTGATTTGATTGACAGGCCAGCAATCTGTGCTACCTGATACTGTAGTCAGAGTTTGCATGCTTAGAAAGCAATTACACGTACCTGGTCACGCGTCAAACGCTTTCATGTACCGCTTGAAAAGTCGCTTTGTATACACTCTGGTAAAAACTTATATCTTTGTTGGTAATTATATTTCACAAAATAATTGAGAGAAGAGAATTAAATTTTGAGTTCATTATTTTTTATTTTCACTGCTGTTTTGTACATTGTACTTGTACGCGATATGTCGCCCAAGATAACTGTACAGCTTTCCGAAGAAAAAAAAAATTGGCGTCTATTCGAGCCCCTTTTCGCCTTCAATGTCCTCTTCAAAACATGCCTGTTTACAGAGAAGAGATCAAAATATTCAATAAAATATTTCATTTTATATGTAATTTGATTTGTATGTATAAGTATCTGAAAGGCTATATTGTGCTGAATTTTTTGAAATACATGTTTTATGTAATACATATTTTTTAGCATACGATAAAATATCGGCAAAACTATAAGCTTAATTATTTCTAATGTCCAGAACTGTGTAACCTAAAATCCATGCATTTAAGAAGTTTGTTAACTTTTTATAATTTAATTCCACTTGCACGCGCGGTTCAAAAGAAAAAAAAAATGTACAAGGAGTACATATACATGGACTTGAATATAACAAATTTATTAGCACACATCTAATGATGAAAATGAACATAATTGATAATACACTTTTACAACTTTATTTCAATGATAAGTTATTCTAAAATTTTACTTCAAATGTCAGAAAGGCCAGCACAGCCAAACTACTTTTAATTGTCTCTGTTTTAATTAAAATGTCAATCACAATAACTCTTTTCTTTAGATCCCTTTATTTCTTATTTGCACATAGTTACATGAAATCCATGCACGGCGCTACACCTGTCAATCAAAATTGTAAACTCCGGATTCCACGGAAACATTTCCCATGTGGTGTAAAATATTCTTTAGGTCAATTCTAATTTTACGCTTTTATAGATACAGTGTAATATTTCGAAACAACGT